GTCTAGTCAATCTCAGTTATTGGTTTGGTCATCATCATCACCACTGCAAACAAACAACGTTTTGCTAATACATATGTATGGATAATAATGACGGGCTATGAAGATGTTGACCATAAAATAGTATTAAACGTTATTTCGTTTTGTTTTTTTGTATAGATGCTCCGTATCATTTTTGTTTACACCACCATAAACAATGGCATTTAAATGGCAGTTAAGTTATACGATTTGATACTATAATAATTTTGTTTGATATTCACGATTTATTTGAATCTTCACATAATTCCGGTCTGATTAGGAATTTTGAGATAAATAAAATATAGGTTTTTATTGCTATTGTTGGTGGAGGCATTGACGTTCTATTGACAATTTCCAAGCAAAGGTTAAAAAAGTGTTAATCAATGGATGGACAAATTAAATATGTCATTGTGTAAAATAATATAAAGCGTAATGTGATGTTAATTTATTTTAAGAGGTATATTCTTTATCATGCTCAATATCAAGTTTTCATTGGTCTTCATTGAGAATTTCAAGGTTTCATTCTTGCCATTACAATAATTAAATGTAGATTTTTGCACAAAAAATAAATAGAAATAAGTGCGAAATACATTCAAGTCGACCGGGCCGAACTTTTTATACCCTTCGCATTGAGGTGGTTATGGTACAACATAGACATTATAAACCAGTAAAGAAAGTAGTAAAGTCGGACGGGGCTGACTATATGATACCCTTCACCACTATGGGTATATTAAACGAATGCATCCTAACAGAAGGGCCATTAACATGAAATTTGATGAATTAAAATATGTCACCTTTATCTAAATGTGAATCGACTTAGATCAATCCATAAACATGCCATTCGTTTGTTACAGTGGCACAAAATTATGTAAATCGGTTTAAAGCAAATATCAAAAATATCAAAATGCTCATTTTTGTGCAGGGTTGCCCATATTCGACGGACCCATGTTTATACCCTTCACCACACTGTGGTACAGGGTATTATGTCTTTCTGCATATGTTTGTAACAGGCAAAAGGAAACGAGATAGACACATGGTTCCTTTTGAGAATATGCATAGAATCACTTTCTAAGTCGATTTATGCATGCCCGTCTGTCCGTCTTTCTGTCTGTGCATGTTAAATTGTAAACAAAGTACAGGTCGCATTTATGATCCGAATTGGATGAAATTTGGCATAGATCACTTATTCGGCCCAAGGACGAACCCTATTGAAATTGGGAAAAATCGGTTCAGATGTAGATATAGCTTCCATATATATATTTAACCGATTTAATGTAAACGGTCCCTATATATCTTTCGATTTGCACGAAATTTGGTACAGCCTAATCATTTGGGTCTAGAATTATGTCTGCCAAGTTTCGTGAAAATCGGTCCAGATTTAGATATAGCTCCCATATATAGTTTCGTCCGATTTCATGTAAATGGTGCACCAAAGTCCCTATATATCCTTCGATTTGCACGAAATTTGGCATAACGTACTGAATTGAGCCTAGAGTGATGTCTGCCAAGTTTTGTAAAAATCGGTCCAGATTTAGATATAGCTCCCATATATAGTTTCGTCCGATTTCATGTAAATGGTGCCCAAAGTCCCTACATATCTTTCGATTTGCACGAAATTTGGCATAACGTACTGAAATGAGCCTAGAGTGATGTCTGCCAAGTTTAGAGAAAATCGGTCCAGATTTAGATATAGCTTCCATATTGTTATGCGACTTGTGTGCGGTGGAGCGCCGTCTTGTTGAAACCAGAACTGCCTCATACGCTTTCGACGAATAATTGGCATCACAAAATTGGTCATCAGGTCGCGATAACGCTCCTGATTGATGGTAACAGCATGACCATTTTCATTTTGGAAAAAACGGCCCAATGACCGTTTTCGCACTAACGCCGCACCAAACTGTGACTTTTTCGTCATGAAGAGACACTTCTTGAATCTCCTGAGGATTTTCAGTGGCGTAAAAATGGCAATTTTGCTTATTTACGGTCCAATTCAATGTGAAATGGGCTTCATCGGACATGATAATTTTGTTCCAAAATTGCTCGTCATCTTCCGCCATTTCGATGACTCTTTGGGCCCATTCCAATCGACGAGGCTTATCCACAGGCAACATTCTTTGCGTCAATTGAATTTTGTACTGGAACAAATGCAAATCAATGCGAATAATCCTTTGTAAAGTGGACCAAACCATGTCCAACTGGGGACCTCTCAACACTGGCTCGTACGGCAGCGATATTCTCGGCTGATCGCCTTGGTCGACTTTTATATGGCCTCTTCGGATTAGAAAGAGCCTTACCAGTCGAAAATTTTTCGTATAAACGCTTAATGGTGTTCTTAGAAGGCGCACTTCTCACATTTTTAATGTTTTAAAAGCACGTTGAGTTTTCACAATTGACTTCTTCTGTTGAATGTATATTTCAACTATTTCAGAGCGCTCGCGTGGCGTGTATTGGTTCATGGTAAAAATCTGCTTGGACTTGGACGCTTCAAACGCGGTATGTCATTAACCGATGTGGGTCCGTCGAATATGGGCAACCTTGTACGTTGTACAAAATTTCATGTCAATATTACAAACATGAGGAGTTTGGTGCACCACTTACTTAAAATCGGACGAAAATAGATATGGTAGCTATATCCAAATATCAAACGATTTCGGGAGATATATTGGAACTATGCCATACCATTTACCTTAAATCGGGCGAAACTATATATGGGAGCTATATCTAAATCTGAAACGATTTTCACGAAACTTAGCACACGTCATTCTAGATTTAATTCGTGCAAATCAAATGATTTTCAGGGACTTTGGTGCACCATTTACCTTAAATCGGGCGAAACTATATATGGGAGTTATATTTATATGTGAACCGATTTTCAATAGGGTTCGTCCTTAGGCCAAATAAGTGAGCTGTGCCAAATTTCATCCAAATCGGATCATAAATGCGACCTGTACTTTGTACACAAAAATACATGGACAGATGGACGGACGGATAGACGGACATGCGTAAATCGATTCAGAAAGTGATTCTATGCATATTCTCAAAAGGAACCATGGGTCTATCTCGATTCCTTTTGCCTGTTACAAACATATGCACAAAGACATAATACCTTGTACCACAGTGTGGTGCTCAGATATTTTTTAATCCTCTGAGAAAATCGAATACGAAATTCCAGTCCTTTGAAAAATGAGGATCAAATCTTCAAAATATGGTGAAATTTTGAAAAATGGACCTACATTGTAAATAGTTTGGCAGGTAATTTTGTTTACTTACTGACTAAAATAAATACCAATTTATAGAAGTCATGGGTTGGAAATAATGGTGCAGGACCATTATAAGTACATAGCATAGGGTGTTTTAACCCAGTTTTTACCCATCAAGAAACCGAAATGCCAAATGGCACCTAATTTTGTTGGAAAAGTGTCTAGGCTATTAAAAGGCATTAGAAGGGATTTGTTAAATCTGGAACTATATTGAAAGTTTTCTAATGAAAAATGTTACCAACGAATAACTTGGATCGACAAATTATAGCCATTTCTGTTGGAAAATGCGGCTAAAACCTTCAACATGTCAAGGTATATTTATAATGGGCCTATGCCAAAATCTAAACTTATAGTGAACAATATCTGCAAATAATTTGTTTATCCCCAATGTATACGTATTGTCATATTCTAGACATTTCGTTGGGATGCAACGCAACAAAAACGGGTACGGGGCCGACCATACGATACCCTACACAACTCCCACGGAACTCTAACTTTCTTCGGATGTTTTTTCCGAGCCTAGGTAATATTTCGAGATATTTGCACCCTCTTACCCGATTTGAGGTCAACAGCACCTCTTCCTTACACCGACATACTTTCCGAATATTACAAATATTCAGTATAGCGTTTCTAATTACTTTGATGTGATGTTCAGCTTATAATTGTGGCCTATAGATGAAAAAACACAAACATTTTAGTTTTTGGTCCATTTTATGCCAAAATTATTATCTGATCATCACTGGAACCTCATGGAACATTTCAAAGCGATCCGTGCTATATTTCTGCCCCTTAGTGTTTATTAAATAATATCTGAGTACGTAAGTACCTGTAAATATTTATGTATAACTCCCACATCGGTGTACATACGACAATATAATTGGTATCAATCACTCTTTTTGGATGTACTATCAACTTCTCGGCTCTATGTCCTTCAAGAGTAAATATATACGCTATAGAATACAAATTTTGTCACAGAAGTCAGGGTCTATTTGACCCGCTAAATATTAACCGATCTTTATCAAAACATGCATGCTTATTCTCTGCATGCTTATTCTCTGGTCATGCAAAAAATCGGGGTGTTTGGGCCATAATTGCGGCGTCTAGAGCGATCAGAAAAACCGGCAAAAATAAAGTTATTGGTCCATTTCATACCCTAAATATTAACCGATCTTTTCCACAATAGGGGTCTTCATTGGCCAGAACCCATACTACATGTAAAATTTCGTGAAGATTGGCCCATAACTGTGGCCTGTATTGTGTATACAAATTATAATGGACGGACGGACACACATGTCTAGATCGACTCAGCTAGTCGAGATATGATAGGTTTACCTAAAGGTGGGTCTAGGACTAATATTTCGCGGCGTTAGAAACTTGTGGAACTGCACAAAGCTATAATACCCTGACAACATAGTTGTGTTGGGTATAATAATACTGAATCTAAAATGGAACCTTATAGGTCAAAATATGGACCTTTATTGATAATTTTTTGTAAATGTAGATGTAGATTATATCATAAAACATGGACTTCATTGAACTTGAAATGTCAGTTTACAATTATTGAAGTATTTATATAAAATTGGGTGGGACCTTTAAGAAAGTGCTAGTCAAATTAAGAACCTACATACATGAACATTTTCTACGAATGCTTTGTTCCCCGATAAAATATTCGGAATTTAAAAAAATTTAATATAAATAATTATTATTTTTTCTTCTCTTTTCCAGCTACAACAAATATACCGTCTTCCACGATAAAGATAATGCCTTCCAGTATATGGTCGATCTGCAATCTCAAGATGTTGATTTGGATTTCTGGTTGCTATCACGTAATATGTCTATTGTATCGGTTAGTCCAGTTATGATACCGATTTTCGAAGAACGTCTCAATGAATTGGGTGTTACATATCAAGCAGTACCCCTTATGGAAGTGATGAGATCATTCAATGAAACTTTGAGCAGCTGTGAGGGTAGTGATTGTGAACACAGTCGTACAAGGAGACAAGCACGTGGTTTCTTCAGTCATTTTCCCAGATATCCAGAGGTGAGAAGTTTGTATAGAAATTTTAATAGATTGACTACTATAAAGAGAATAATGAACTATGAGGTAAACCACAAAATGGAGTGCTGCAGGTCTTTCTGCAGCACTCCTATTTGTGCGCTTTTATATATCTCTTAAAATAGTAATATGTCTCTTAAAAACCTTTTGTCAATATTATTTTGCTGGGAGACCTTGAAAATGTTTTTCAACGGCCTACCTATAGCCATGTCAGTCGTTCTTTCCGTATATTGAAATCGCTATAGGGCTCACAATATTAATATTAATCGGTCCATATAGACAGACCACATATATGGAATACCTGCTATCACTCTTTTGTATTCTATAGGTAGTGAGCATTCTGCAGATCTACATAGAATTTATCTTAACGGCTTTCTATATCCTAACTGTATTTTCATTAGTTGTAGAAGTCATATTATGCATATAGGCCTTCTAAATAAAATAAAATTTTGACCTTCTATTAGCCGTATATAGGTATGATATCACCTATTGCTTTCATAAATATAAAAATTCATGACTTCTGCACCATATCGATCCTTTTGAAATTGAAGAATTTATTTCGGTGTTCTTTACATGAAAAAAATCTATCAGGTTTCTATACATAACACATTTCGGTTGTTTATTTATAAAAGAAATCCTATCAGTATATTAGGGATAGAAGATCGCCGATCAGACTTATGTGGATGAAAGAACTCCTTTTAGTTTTCTATAGTTCGAAAATAGTATCTAGAATACCCAATTTCTGATGCATATATTTCTCCCATCGGTTCTACATATTGTAGACCACCTATAAGTATTCTATAACTAGAGTATTTCCGGTCTTCTATAGTTAGTTTTAGGCATATATATTCTATAGATCACTGATAGTCTGACGACTTTTTTAGTAGACTTTTCTTTGTGGGAGGACCTTTCATAGCTCTGCTATCATTGCATTGGCTTCTTCTATGCCACCTATAGCTATAGTACTATTGTTCTCTAATTTCCCACATTCTCTGCCTCTTACAGATTTTAGCTTTTATGAACGGTTTGGCATCACGCTACCCTCAATTTTGTCGTTATGAATCTTTGGGTCGCTCATCGGAGGGACGTCACTTGGCTGCCTTGTCAATTTCCCTAAATAGCCGTACACGTCCACGTCGTGTTGCCTATATTCAAGCTGGTGTTCATGGTCGTGAATGGATCACCCCAATGTCAGTGCTTTACTTTGCCAATGAATTGCTATCGAATATTCGTGCCTTCCAAAAGGTACTCAACGATGTCGAAGTATATTTGCTGCCATTGGCCAATCCGGATGGTTATGAGTACACATTTACAACAGTAAGTTTCCGTAAGAAAGAAATATTGTGACACATGTTTTTAATATTTTCTCGTTTCCCATTTAGGATCGTTTCTGGCGTAAAAACAGACATCGTTATCCTGGTCGTTCATGTGTTGGTGTTGATATTAATCGTAATTTTGCCAATAATTGGAATCTTCGTGGTGCCAGTCAAAATGTAATTGAAATGGACAAAAATGAATATCAAACAGAACTAACCTTTTGGTGTTTTCTTTTTCATTCCAGCTTTGCTCTGAAGTCTTTTCGGGAACATCACCTGCCTCTGAACCGGAAACATCGGCAATAACCCGTTACTTGGAATACAATCGTCATCGTGTCAAGTTGAGTTTGGATGTCCATTCGTTTGGCAAATTTATTTTCTATCCTTACGGCTATTCCAGGTAAGTCCATTTCATTTCATTTTGTTGGATGGAAACTGGCAATTAAAGTATGATTTCCTGTCTTACAGAAATGCCAATGCCCCCACCCGTAACTTCTTACATCAGGTGGCATTGCGTGCCGGCAGTCAGATAGCCAAATATCGTGGTACCGTTTACACGGTCGGTACATCGGCCAACATTTTGTATGAAGCTGCCGGTGGTCTTGATGATTTTGCCTACGGCAATTTGGGCATCCCCATGTCGTTTACCCTCGAATTGCCGGGTGAAAATTTCCAAGTGGCCTCCAGTGACATCATCCACATATGCAAAGAGACTTTTGCTGGTTTTGTTGAATTTATTCGTCATGTTAGTTTGTTTTAATTACCTCGACGTTTTTCTATTTGTGAAATTAGTCGATGAACTTTTAAAGTCATCGGAGTACATTATTTTAGGGTTAGAATATAGAACAAATCTCTATATATTTATATAACGCTATTATTGCAAATCTTTTTAAAGATAACAACAATTTATACTCATAGTTTTTTGTTAGAATTCCTTACTTCTATTGGGTATACACGGTATGTACATAGCCATTGTGTATGTCTGTATGTGTACTTATATTAGTGAGATTTTAATTGTCATTCTTTTTTTATTTTTTCATAATTTAGTAGTTTAATTTAATTGTTAATTAATTTTAAATAAAAATACAAAATTCCAAACATTTTTATTTTCTTCGGGAAAATGGGTGAAACTCGGAGATCTATCAAAAGAATCGCAGGAAAAATTATTACACAATTTATAGAGATCACAATATCGGGAGAATTTAATTAAGTTATGGCAAAGTCTGAATGTATTGTAAACAAAATTAATTAAATTGTAAACAAAATACAGGTCGCATTTATAATCCGATTTGGATGAAATTTGGCACAGCTCATTTGTTTGGTCCAAGGACGAACCCTATTGAAATTTGGAAAAATCGGTTCAGATTTAGATAAAGCTCCCATATATATTTTCGTCCGATTTAAGATAAATTGTGCACCAAAGACCCTATATATCTGTCAATTTTCACGAAATTTAGTATAACGTACTGAATTGAGCCTAGAATGATGTCGGCCACGTTTCGTGTAAATCGGTCCAGATTTATATATAGCTCCCATATATAGTTTCGTCCGATTTCATGTAAATAGTGCACCAAAGTCCGCCTATATATCTTTCGATTTGCACGAAATTTGGCATAACGTACTGAATTGAGCCTAGAGTGATGTCTGCCAAGTTTCGAGAAAATTGGTCCAGATTTAGATATAGCTCCCATATATAGTTTCGTCCGATTTCATGTAAATGGTGCACCAAAGTCCCCCTATATCCTTCGATTTGCACGAAATTTGGCATAACGTACTGAATTGAGCCTAGAGTGATGTCTGCCAAGTTTCGAGAAAATCGGTCCAGATTTATATATAGCTCCCATATATAGTTTCGTCCGATTTCATGTAAATGGAGCACCAAGTCCGCCTATATCCTTCGATTTGCACGAAATTTAATATAACGTACTGAATTGAGCCTAGAATGATGTCTGCCAAGTTTCGTGAAAATCGGTCCAGATTTATATATAGCTCCCATATATAGTTTCGTCCGATTTCATGTAAATGGTGCACCAAAGGCCATACATATCTTTCGATTTACACCAAATTTGGCATATCGTACTGAATTGAGCCTAGAGTGATGTCTGCAAAGTTTCGAGAAAATCGGTCCAGATTTAGATATAGCTCCCATATATAGTTTCGTCCGATTTCATGTAAATGGTGCACCAAAGTCCCCCTATATCCTTCAATTTTCACGAAATTTGGCATAACGTACTGAATTGAGCCTAGATTGATGTATGCCAAGTTTCGAGAAAATTGGTCCAGATTTAGATATAGCTCCCATATATAGTTTCGTCCGGTGCATCAAAGTTCCTATATATCTTTCGATTTGCACGAAATTTGAGCCTAGATTGATGTATGCCAAGTTTCGAGAAAATCTGTCCAGATTTAGATATATCTCCAATATATAGTTTCGTCCGATTTCATGTAAATGGTGCACCAAAGTCCCTATATATCCTTCGATTTGCACGAAATTTGGCATAACGTACTGAATCGAGCCTAGAGTGATCTCGGTCAAGTTTCGTGAAAATCGGCCAAGGTTTAGATATAGCTCCCATATATATTTTCGTCCGTTTTAATGTAAATTTAGTCCAAAATGATGGGTGCCAAGTTTCGTGAAAATCGGTTGAGATTTAGATATAGCTCCCTTTTATTATAGATTGATTTTAAGTAATTGACGCACCAAGGAACCAATAGGCTGGTAAGAACAAAACGTACTAAAATTAGTATAACCTGTGACAAGTTTCGTTGAAATCGCTTCATATTTGGATATAGCTTCCATATATATATATATATATATATATTTTCGCCCGATTTTAAGTAAATTGGGCATCAAACTTCCCATGTTAGTCAGATTGATATCAAATGGAGACATTTAGTACCCAATAAGAACCCAATGTACCAAATTTCAGCGAATTCTCAAAAACGCGCTGAAGAACCCCAAAATACCGAAAATTGCGGGGTACCCCTATATACGGGCTACCCGAAAAAATGGACCTATATTCATAATTTTTTGTGGAGAGATTTGGTACTATTAAGAATTCAAAATACTAAATTTCAGCCTTTTGGGAGGAAAAATACGACCAAAACCCCCAAAATATTGAAAATTCGGAGGTACCATACTATGGTGGAGGGTATAAAAAAGGATTTCACAAAATTAAAACAACAATTTTCTTTCTTTCAATCACTTATTATTTTTTCAACTTTTAAAAAAATTTTATTTTGTGGTGTCAGCAGAACACTTTGTTTATTAAACGAAATTGGATTTTCTGTCTTGTCACAAAAACTAAATTTAAACGATCTTAAAAGTAATGCCAGACCAATAGTCATTTGTATTTGTGCAAAACGCATACCAATACAATTACGCGGTCCATCACCAAAACTTAACAGGGGAGGATTTGAACGATCTGCAGCAAAATTCTCAGGATTAAATTCGGTCGCTTTAGGATAATAATTTTCATCTCGTTGAAAACTATACGCCGGTATTATTATCATTTGACCTTTACTTATTACAATATCCGAATGTGATGGCACCGTGTAGTCTTTGGAACATTGTCGTATAATTAACGGTGATATGGGATAAAGGCGTAGCGTTTCTGAAATGATATAAGAAACCGGTTTTAAATTGTTGATGTTGGTTCTTGTGTTTATTTCAATAAGCATTTATGTAATAATTACTTTTGTATTATAAATTAAATTATATAACGTCTGGAATTCGAAATAAAATAAGTATATATACAGAGGAGACAAATATTAGATACATTAAGTATGGGAGAATGTGTCAAAAAATATATATGGATTTCTGTCATAGAATTTCTTTTAAGTTCTTGTGTGTAGAAATTCCATTTAGGAATTACTTATTTCTGGTACTCTGCAGGTGATCTCCAAATGCCCTTTCGTCTTAGAAAAACGCTCACATTATCTGCGTATACAGTATATAGAAAATCAATGGTCTTCTATCTGTTGAAAACATACTGATAACAAGTAAATCTGGTATATAAAGTTCGACCGGGCCATTTTCTTTTATTCTTCCTAACATGAGGTGGACATTGAAAATATCTAAAATCGATCGGAACTTGTATATGGGCGCCAGGGCATGGTAAATTGAAGGAACCAAACTATAGGCACTCACGGTGGATAATTGGGCTAGGACAATGTACATATCGAAAGTGACGCGTGGCCTTTGAAGGGGACTTCATAATTTCACAAAAAATAGACCTATACAGACATTTCTACAAACCGATTATGCAAACAATAATTTTTAATAGAAAATTATACCCTCAGCCTTATGGCTAATTAGTGTGTATACACTTTCACACGGTGAAAATGTGCCTCATCGAAATATTGGTTCTAGACCACATGTTTCTTTAGACCAAATCCGTTTCAGAAAAATTTGATTTCATACCATCTTATTATGTCTTCCAAATATAGTTCAAGTCCGAATTTGGGCAATATCGGTCCATGGCTTCTGGTACCTCCCACACAGGGGCTACGGCTAAGCCTAAATGCGGGCTATAGTTCATTATTGTTAGAACCAAACCCAAAACGCGGAAAAACCAGATAATTATATTAATATAAACCAGTAAGGAAAGTAGTAAAGTCGGACGGGGCCGACTATATTATACCCTTCACCACTTTGGGTATATTCAACAGATGGAATCGTAACAGACGTCGCATTTTTGAAGGACCATTAACATGAAACTAAACATGTCATTCTGCAACCTATACAAAATTTTGGTCAGATATAGAGTTGCTTCTTAAAATGGGACAAAATTATATAAATAACTTTAAAGCAAAATATCGAAATCTAAACCGATTTCATCGAAACTTATCACATGTTTTGAGCATTCGGCACTATTTTGAGTTCTTCATTTACTTATAAATCCAAACTTCGTGCAAATCGAAGGATATATAGGGACTTTTGTGCACCATTTACCTAAAATCGGACGAGAATATATATGGGAGCTATATCTAAATCTGAACCGATTTTCACGAAATTTAGTACACATCATTCTAGACCTTATTGAGTAGGCTGTACCAAATTTCGTGCAAATCGAAAGATATTTAGGGACTTTGGTACCTCATTTACCTTAAATCGGACGAAAATATATATGGGAGCTATATCTAAACCTGAACCGATTTTTCCCAATTTCAATAGGGTTCGTCCTTGGGTCAAACAAATGAGCTGTGCCAAATTTCATCCAATTCGGATCATAAATGCGACCTGTACTATCTTTACAATTTAACATGGACAGACGGACGCGCGGACATGCATAAATCGACTTAGAAAGTGATTCTATGCATATTCTCAAAATGATCCACGGGTCTATCTCGATTATTTTTGCCTGTTACAAACATATGCACAAAGACATAATACCCTGTACTACAGTGTGGTGAAGGGTATAAAATTTTTTTTTGGAATTTTGGAATTTTTAGTGGAAATAGTTGGTACCCAATGAGAACCCAATATACCAAATTTCAGCGAATTCGGTTGAAAAACGCGCTCAAGAACCCCAACATACCGAAAATTTGGGGTACCCTTATATGGGGGGCTACCAGAAAAAAATGGAGTGATTTGAAACCTATTAAGAACTCAAAGTATTATATTACAGCCAATTCGGTGGAAAAATACGACCAAAACCCCCAAAATACTGAAAATTAGGAGGTACCGTTATATGGGGGCTACCAGAAAAAGTGGACCTATATTTATAATTTTTTGTGGAGACATTTAGTATCCAATAAGAACCCAATGTACCAAATTTCAGCGAATTCGGTTGAAAAACGCGCTAAAGAACCCTAAAATACCGAAAATTGTGGGGTGCTGTTATATGGGAGCTATGCCTAAACGTGGACCGATATACCCCATCTTCGAACATGACCTGCCTGCAGACAAAAGACAAACCTGTGCAAAATTTCAGCACCCTATCTCAATTCCTTCAGAAGATAGCGTGATTACAACGGACGGACGGTCATGGCTAGATCGTCTTAGAATTTTACCCTGATCAAGAATATATATACTTTATAGGGTCGGAAATGAATATTTCGGTGAGTTACAAACGGAATGACAAAAAAAGTCCTCTAGATGGTCTTATTGGCACAAGGTTAGCAGTTAAAGGACCTATCGGAGCCCTTCAATACTGAACGAGGATTCAGACAAGGTGACAGTTTGTCGTGTGATCTTTTTAACATCCTGCTGGAAAAGGTCATACGAGACGCAAATGTGAACAGAAGTGGCACTCTGCACACCAAATAACACATGTTACTCGCCTAATCTGATGACATCGATATAATGGGTCGAACATTGCGAGCGGTAACAGACACCTTTGAAGAAATTGAGAAGGAATCTTCCAAAGTGTGTCTGGCAGTAAACGGCGAGAAGACCAAGCTGATGGTATCACGCGCAAGACGTCCAGTAGACTCGGACCAATTGTGGCACTAGAGAACTACAGCTTCGAGGTAGTTAAAGATTTTATATACCTTGGTACGGCCATAAATAAACCGAATGACATCATTTTTGAAATTTGGAGAAGGATTGTGATGACCAACAGATGCTACTATGGTAAGTAAGCAGTTTAGAAACAAGGCCAACTCCAGCCAGACTAAACTCACACTTTACAAGACGCTGATACTAGTCGTGCTGTTATATGGATCTGAAGCATGGGTGCTTGCGCAAGCAGATGAGACAGCTCTTGGGGTGTTTGAAAGAAAAATTCTCGGAAAGATCAACGGGCCGATCTGCGTCGACGGTGAATAACGGCGTTGAATTAACCACGAGCTTTACAATTTATACGCGAACATCGATATAGTCAGTCGTATTGAGCTGCAGCGACTACGATGGCTAGGCCATGTTGTGCGAATGAATGGGAATACCCCAGCTCAAAAGGCATATAAAAGCGAGCCTACTGATGGTTCCCGAAGAAGGGGAAGGCCACGAATCAGATGGAAAGACCAAGTAGAAAACAACATCTTGGAACGTGGTTTTTCAAATTGGAGGAAATGCGCAAAAGACTGACGCGCTTGGAAATCATTTTTAAGCTCGGCTTATGCAACAACCGTTCTGTAACAAGCAAGCTAAGTAAGATGGTCTTATATACATTTTTTTTATTCACATAAGGCCCTATTGCAGATTTTTTATGCAGATAACATCTGTAGAATGACTACTACTAGTACTTTTTTAGACCTATCTACAGGACCCTCATCTCTAGAGGTCTTATAGAAATAACATATAAGGTTTTTCATAGAAGGCCTGTATAAGGTGTAGAAGAAGGTCTCCTATCCAGACTATAAGGTATCTTATCCGTCCTTAATGTTTTTCTAACCACAGAAAACCTATAGAGGATATGTAGAATATATTTTCTACATAAAAGTCCAGACGAAATTATTACATCAAAAGAGTCCCCTAGAGGGTCTTATATAAACGTATTATATGTACACAAATTATCTATACAGATTTTCTATACAGAATACAGATTTTCTATACAGAGAATACCCGTAAAACGACTATACTACCTATTTTCCCCTAAAAGCATTGCAGAGAAAACATTTTTTCATATAAGACATCTAGACCCAAATGGTGCACCGATCAATGGTGTATAGCATTTTCAGACCTGCAGGTCCTTCCCCCATTGAAGCCTTGCAGAAGGAATTACAATCTTAAAATAGCTATTGTACGACTTATATCCAATAGAGTTCGCTTAAGAGTTTAACTATTATGAAAGGTTAACTTACGGTGTCATGTATATACAAGTTTTTTCCACATACCTTTCAGAACCTGTTGTAGATATTTCATTTCACTTAAACAATCATATGTAACGCCATCATTGTGTCTCTTTAAAACTCTAAAAATTTCCTCGCGAGTTCTTTCCTGGATTTCACAATTTCTTGCCAATTCATATAGGGCATAGGTTAGCGTGAATGCGGTACTTTCATACCCCGCCTGAAAGAATATCAAGGTTTGTGCCGTAATTTCAGTTAATGTCAATTTCCGGTCACTCGTTCCGATGTGCATTTCATTTAAGGTATCAATAATGTAGTTATAACGCATTTCAGATTTTTTTCTAACATCCAAGATATCTTTTACGAAATTTGTATAAAATCGTATCATATTAGCTGGTAAATATTGAAGTTGTAGCAGACGGGCCAATCGGGGAAAGGCGATCATTAGAAGCTTTGTCACATTTCCATTGTGTTCTCCAATAAACGAGTTCTGTATGAGTTGATAGAATTGATCTTTGGGATTTTGTAAACTATGTGTCTTACAGCCAAAACCACAGGATCCAATTATTTCCAATGTAAAACGTAACATTAAATCTTTTATGTCGAAAATATTATTACCCTCCGCAATATCGAGCTTCATAACTTGTATTAATTCTTTAGAGACTCCAACAAATGTCGGCAACATTGATTTCAATTTGCCACTTGTAAAACTTGGTGAGAGTTTTGTTCGAAACACTTTCCATCGATCATAGTCCAAGGTGAAGAGATTGCCCGTCAAATCGTCTGGGTTATGGTATAAACCACGATTATGAAAATAACCGAAATCTTTTGTTAGAATACGTTTGGCCAATTGCAAGTCTGTTATTAGAGCCACTGGGGTTACAAATACGTATAAACCGAGCAAAGGTGGCGAAGACGCACGAATTTCATTGTAGTAGTTGTGGAATATATCATTAAATGAGTTGTGCCGACCGTAATCTGTCATATTTCCCCATAACCAATGTCGATGTGTTGGTGTTAGAATTTTACGTTTCGGCCAATATTGGACTTTCCTCCGGAACAGAAAAACGAAACACGTTAGGCATGCAGTTAATAAAACGAAACAGGTGCCGAAATACATCTTGTCGCGACGAGTTTAAAATACTTTCTGTTTCAGCGTTCTTGGCGTTTAATTGAAATGCATTGAATTGGTGTTTGTTTTTCATAACACCCTACACCTGTCGGGTTGGTGAAAGCAGTCATTTGGTTGTCTTCGATTTATTTTGGAATAATTATGCATAATAAGTCGCTCAACCAGGAATAATACAACTCAGAAGTATTTCGGAAAGTGCGGGTAAACCTTCCGATGTAATGGAAGAACGGTCGTGGTTACACGGTTATATGAGGCTACCCGAAGAAGATAACAAATATTAAATATTTTTGGTAGGGTCATTTGGTATTAAACGATAATTCAAAACACTAAATTACAGCCTAACATGCCGAGAATAAAAAAAATATCCCGAAATTTTATTGGTACCGTTATGTGGGAAATTGTTCCGATATTAATAATATTTGGTAAGAAAATGTGAGTGAACAACATCCTTACGGAAAGTGTTCGGTATAGGTCCTTGTTTCGACATGACACCCATATAAAGATCATGCTCCATTTTTTTCTTTTGGCATTTAAAATGTAATTTGTCTTTTCAGGTATTTTGAGGTTGAAAATTATATTTCAGCAAATGTCCTATATGGGTTCCCGCTTTGACATGATACCCTCCAAATATCTTTGTTAGTTTGAAGTAAACAAAGTACAGGTCGCATTTATGATCCGAATTGGATGGAATTTGGCATAGGTCGCTTATTTGGCCCAAGGACGAATCCTATTGAAATTGGGAAAATCGGTTCAGATTAAGATATAGCTCCCATATTTAATTTAAATGGTGTACTAAAGTCCCTATATGTCTTTCGATTGGCACGAAATTTGGTATAGCGTAATGAATTAGGTCTAGAATGATGTGTGTTAAGTTTCCTGAAAATCGGTTCAGATTTAGATATAGCTCCCATATATATTTTCGTCCGATTTATGTAAATGGTGCGCCATAGTCCCTATATATCTTTTGATTTGGCACAGCGTAATGAATAAGGTCTAGAATGAAGTGTGTTAAGTGAAAGTTCCGATTTACGGTAAATGGTGTACCAAAGTCCTTATATAACTTCCGATTTGCACGAAATTTGGCATAGCGTAATGAATTAGGTCTAGAATGATGTGTGTTAAGTCTCCTGAAAATCGGTCCAAATTTAGATATAGCTCCCATATATATTTTCGTCCGATTTAATGTAAATGGTGTACCAAACTCCCTACGTATCTTTCGATTTGCACGAAATTTGGCACAGCGCACTGAATTATGTCTATAATGATGTGTGTTAAGTTTCCTGAAAATCGGTACAGATTTAGATGTAGCTCCCATATATATATATTCGTCCGATTTAATGTAAATGGTGTACCAAAGTCCCTACGTATCTTTCGATTTGCACGAAATTTGGCACAGCGCACTGAATTATGTCTATAATGATGTGTGTTAAGTTTCCTGAAAATCGGTACAGATTTAGATGTAGCTCCCATATATATATATATATATATATATATATATTCGTCCGATTTAATGTAAATGGTGTACCAAAGTCTCTATATATCTTTCGATTTGCATGAAATTTGGCACAGGGTAATGAATTTAGGTTTAGAATGATGTGTGTTAAGTTTCCTGAAATCGGTTCAGATTTAGATATAGCTTACATATCTGACCAAATGAAACATTTAGTATCGGTTGCAGAATGACATGTTTATGTACCTAATTTCATTTCGACCCAAAGTGGTGAAATGTATCATATAGTCGGGCCCGTCCGACTTTACTACTTTCCTTACTGGTTTTTGTTTAGCATTGTTTGGTATTTAATTATGAAAAGGCTTAAACCACAACAACGTTTATAAATAGTTCAAATTTTGTTGTCGAAAATTCACGTTCTGCGAGGAATGTGTTTCGTGCGCTTCGCTCAACTTAAGGTTGAAATATAGTCAATACTTCGGTGAGCACGTTAAGTACCTTTTTGTACGAATTGCCAATAACCTAGCCTAATGATACGCCAACACACCAACACACCTAATATCCAAAATTCTAGATTCAGGTATTTCATCTGGGTGTTAATGGATATAATCGGACTATCCTGATCATTTGATACCATACTCAACTACAAGGTTCATTTGATCTGGTATATATTGGCGGGTAATTTTCAATGCTATCTGTTCCCCGTTCACGGCATAATTGTGGCCTCTAAAGCCACACACAAATATTAAGTGGTTGGCCCATTTTACCCCCGTAATATTAACCGATAATACTAAACAAGTGAGCGGAGCCGTACAGTCGGACCGGACCGACCATATGATACCCTACAGAACTACCACCGAACTTTAATTTTCTGCAATTCTATATTCGATGCCTGAATGATACATCGCGGTATTTGCACCCTCATTTGATCTGGTATATATTGGCGGGTAATTTTCAATGCTATCTGTTCCCCGTTCACGGCATAATTGTGGCCTCTAAAGCCACACACAAATATTAAGTGGTTGGCCCATTTTACCCCCGTAATATTAACCGATAATACTAAACAAGTGAGCGGAGCCGTACAGTCGGACCGGACCGACCATATGATACCCTACAGAACTACCACCGAACTTTAATTTTCTGCAGTTCTATATTCGATGCCTGAATGATACATCGCGGTATTTGCACCCTCTAAATCAAGATCAAAAGATCGTCTTTCTTACCCTGGTATATTTACGAATTAAATTGGGTATTTTACACACAAAAGTGTTGGTACACTTGACCTAAATAAATAGTTGGCCAAATCATTTCCCCGTGCAAATTTTGTGATTTTCGGCTTACAATAGTGGTTTTTGACCCTTTCAATCTCTTAAATATGATGATATTGATCACCAATCCATAATTTTTAGGTGTCGTCCTTCACCATAACCGGAACTTCATGTTAAACGTTTTCATTAATGGTAATACTAATCTAATCAAAATACGTAGACACCTACGTAGGCAATTATGTTAGTATAACTTCCACATCCGAGTTTTTACAATAACATAATTAGCAGAATTTTAAAGGTCAACCACTCCTCTGGGATATACTATAAACTGCTCGCGTCTATGTTCTTCAGGAGTAAATACATACGTCATAAAATAGAAAGGTTGTCATATTTCACACAACAAAACAGTCATGCATGGTCATACCCCCTTCTCTGTGTAAAATTCCGTGATGTTCGGTCCGAATTGATGCCTCTACAGCGACCAGAAAAATAGACAAAAATAAAGTTTTTGGTTCATTTCATCCCAATAGGGATGGGGCCACACGAATAACGACATAAAAACTATAAGTGTCGCCATTGACCAGAACCGAACCTACATGCAACATTTGTTGTTTTTCAAATTATAATAGGTAGACGTACGGACATTCGAACCATTCGTGTCGAGTATAATTAAATTTTATATTCAAAAGAAAATGAAATAAATAAATACATAGATGAAGATTATAATCATTTTTTTGCCAATCTTCACCATCGATTTTCACTTCCGAACAATGATGTAATGTATACACCCACTGATACGTTTTCCTCTATAGAATATTTGCCGGCATATAATAATAGCACCCAATAAAACACTAAATTGATAACCATGAACATATTATCTACAATCGAATGCCCTGCAAGTAGTTTTCATTTGTGTGGATATCTTCAGAGAGTAGCAAGCAAAATGCGAGTTTTACCGCGTTCATTTCTGTTATTATTTGGAATAATATTGCATTTCGAATTTATAGAAGGTCTGAATATTACAACATATCATCGGAACTATGAGGGGTAGGCTCAAACTAAATTTCAACTGCTAAATTCTAAAACTTTTTTTTTTCATATTAGTTACAAAATCCTCGATATTCAGTTGGAAAATCCAAAAAATTACAAAGTATTCCGAGAAAATTTCCATCCAGATGTCATTGGCCGTGGTGAAGAAGCTTACAGCATGCGCGTGCTAGTAGAACCATTTAAAATGCCGACAATAAAGAGTTATCTGAAGAAAAACAAACTGACATTTAAGATTATTAATAACAATGTGGCTACAAATGTGCAGGCGGAGAAAGTGTTTCAGCGTTCCAGTCGTTCCGCCCCTAACAAAAATGACGCTATCGATTTTCATAGCTATCAGCGTTTTGACGTTATCAATAATTACCTAGATAAGTTGGCAGCGGAGTTCCCCCGGCAAGTGAATATTGTGGAAGTGGGTAAATCATACGAGGGTCGTACCTTAAAAGCCATTCACATAAGGCAAACAGTTGAAGCCACAACGAAGAGGTCCAAGAAACCTCTGATATTTATAGATGCAGGTATACACGCCCGTGAATGGATATCCCATGCCACAGCATTGTATGCCATACAACAATTGGTGGAAAATTCAACATTTTATCAACGAGAATTGAAAATGTATGATTGGCTAATATGGCCGGTGGTAAATCCTGATGGTTATGAATATTCGCATCAGTATGACAGGTTTTGGCGTAAAACAAGACAACCAGATCCAGAGGGCTACTCTCGATGTCTGGGTGTTGATCTAAATCGTAATTTTGATTTTTATTGGGCACATACTGGCAGCTCATTTGATCCGTGTGAAACGGATTATCATGGACCAGAGGCATTTTCAGAACCCGAAGCAATTGCCTTGAGAGATTTAATGTTCGAAATCAACGACAGATGTAAAATGTATCTGACCCTACATTCATATGGCAATTATTTACTTTATCCCTGGGGTTATGAGCAGTAAGTTTGCCTATGAAAACCATAGAAAATTTGCATTTTAAATTAGCTTCATTTTTTCAGAGCTCTACCTTCGAATTGGCATTACTTGGATGCAGTTGCCCGTGCTGGCATGGATACAATTCGGAATACAACAGGTACTGTCTACACTGCGGGTAGTAGTGCTCGTACATTGTATCCTGCTTCGGGCGCCACTGATGATTTTGCTTATGGTGTTGCCAAAATTCCAGTAGTCCTTTGCATGGAATTGCCATCGAGTGGTAATGGTTTTGATCCACCAACTAATCGAATATTGCCGTTAGTTAGAGAAAGTTGGCAGGGTATACGTGCAATGGCATTGGAGGTCCATGAATATCCTTTGCGTAATAGTGCCGCAGGTATTTCAATGAAGTTTTCACTGGGATTAATAGTTGTGCTACTGGTGATTTTACAATAAACATTTTAAATTCGAATAAAATTTGGTCTTGTCAACAGATATATACAACCTGCCTGTGTTCCAGTACTTTTTTTAACAGTAAATCTAGTTAAAAGGAAACATTTCAAAATCTCTCTCAGAGTACAAAATAATTTGAAAAGTTCGAGAATGCAAATCTAGTAAATATGCCAAAATTAGATGGCAATACTTCAAAATCAATATTACAGGCAATCAGGAGTTGGCATTCCTGTTTACCATTTTTCTAGTAAAAAGTTCTAAAACATTTGGACAAATTTTTTGAGTAAAAAGTTTACAAAGAGAACACCATTTTGTTTTGTGTTCTCTTTAATTTGGTTCAATGTTTTACCAGTTTTGTGGGTTCAGAAACGGATTTCGGCATTAATACGATTTTTGGATCACATGTCGATACCTTTAAAAAAACCAGTAAGTAAAGCAATAAAGTCGGACGGGACCGACTATAAGATACCCTTCACCACTTTGGGTATTTTCAACAGATGGAATCTAACAGACGTCGCATTTTTTAAAGACCATTAACATGAAATTAAACATGTTACTCTGCAACCTATACTAAATTTTGTACAGATATAGAGTTGCTTCTTACATAGGGATAAAATTATGTAAAGAAATTTAAAGCAAAATATCGATCACATTTTGAGTTCTTGCATTCGGTCACATTTGGAGTTCTTCATTTACTTACAAATCCAAATTTCGTGCAAATCGAAGGATTCCTATATATCCTTTGATGCACCATTTAAATAAAATCGGACGAAAATATATATGGGAGCTATATCTAAATCTGGATCGATTTTCTCGAAACTTGGCATACATGAATCTAGACTCAATTCAGTACGTTATGCCAAACTTCGTGCAAATCGAAAGATATATAGGGACTTTGGTGCAACATTTACATCAAATCGGACGAAACTATATATGGGAGCTATATCTAAGTCTGGACCGATTTTCTTGAAACTTGGCAGACATCACTCTAGGCTCAATTCAGTATGTTATACCAAATTTCGAACGTTATGCCAAACTTCGTGCAAATCGAAGGATATATAGGGACTTTGTTGCACTATTTACATAAAATCGGACGAAAATATATATGGGGGCTATACATAAATATGAACCAATTTTCACGAAATTTAACACACATATTTCTGGACTTAATTCAGTACGCTACGCAAAATTGCGTGTAAATCGAAGGATATATAGGGATTTTGCTGTTTCATTCACATAAAATCGGTCAAAACTATATATGGGAGCTGTATCTGAAACTGAACCGATTTTCACGAAACTTGGCAGACATCACTCCAGATTCAATTCAGTATGTCATACCAAATTTCGAGCAAATCGAAAGATATATAGGGACTTGGGTGTACCATTCGGACGAAAATATATATGGGAGCTATATCTAAATCTGAACCGATTTTTCCCAATTTCAATAGGGTTCGTCCTTGGGCCAAATAAATGAGTTGTGCCAAATTTCATCCAATTCGGATTATAAATGCAACTGTACAGACGGACGGACGGACATACATAAATCGACTTAAAAAGTTATTCTATGCATATTCTGAAAGGGAACCCTGTGTCTATCTCTTTTGCTTTTGCCTGTTACAAACATATGCACAAAGACATAATACCCTGTACCACAGTGTGGTGAAGGTTATAATTAAGGCTGAGGGGAAGAATCAAAATAATATGAAAAGTGGTATAAGACCACTTTGAATTGTTATCTGTGATCTGATCTGTTTCTGAATCACTCTCGTATACCTTTGGGCCTCTCTTTCTCTCTCTCTGTCTCTCTCCAGATCCTTCAGATAATTTCTGACACTTTTGGAAGAATCGTACACAAAATATGATATGACATCGAAAATATATTCTATCTACCACAGATCGATCTATTTTCTTGTAAGAGGCTCACAAGAATAAGTCCGGAATCGTAGGTGATTATTTTAATATTGCCTGAAGTAAAATTAGAGATACACATAGGCATCTCTGCAAAAATAAGGACCACAGATCGGTCTATCGTCTCATATGAGGCTTTCATATGCCCACTACCATAGGTCCACACCTAGTCATTGTTTGTTGTGACTACCTCAATGTCACTTGGAGGAGATTAGAGATACACATCTCTGTAGAAATGTGTTAAGTTCTGGAAGCAAGAATAATTTTTTTGCGGTTAAGGTCCTATAGAAGGGCCAAGCTTATCGACAAAGTTTATCGTCTCAAAATTGCTAACAGATTTTTTTGGAGGAAGTAGAAGTGTAGCCTAAAAAAGGTTCAGTTCAACCGCGATGTTAAGAAATGAATCTTAGTTTCTTACAAAATCGTGTATGATATGGTTATAAAACACCATAAATTACGTTTTTGTTGTTAGCTTAAACGACAATGTAAATGATATAAAAGTGGTATGATAATAAAATCAATCGTTAAATTATAGCTATTAAATATTTAACAGCTATTAGAAAAAATTAATATGAGTTAACGAATCTGAGACGATTGATTGTTAATAATTGCAGTGATTTATATTTAGTTAGGGTTGACCATTGGACAATAGCGGGAACCTCTTGAAAGAATACATTAAAAGAATTCTTGACTAAGTTAGTGTTAATGTCTACACCATGCCAAAAAACATAAACCTTACAAAACAATAATGGGAGAACTCCTACTTTAAACTCAGTTCATTTGAAGGACGAACCCTATTGAAATTGATAAGAATCGGTACAGATTCGATTTACATGAAATTGTCTATTACCATGCTGATCTAGAATGATAGCTGTCAAGTTTTAATTAAATCGGTTCATGTATCTACACATATATTTTTGTCCGATATTTGTTCGATTGACATAAAATGAGTCTAAAAATGGCTTGCATCGGATCAGATTAAAATAATGCTCGGCAATATAATTCGGTATTTTGGAAAAACATTTTCAGCAAATAAGTATTTATACCCTTCACCACAGTGTGGTACAGGGTATTATGTCTTTGTTCATATGTTTGTAACAGGCAAAAGGAAACGAGATAGACCCATAGTTCCTTTTGAGAATATGCATAGAATCACTTTCTGAGTCGATTTATGCATGTCCGTCTGTCCGTACGTCCATGTATTTTTGTTAACAAAGTACAAGTCGCATTTATGATCCGATTTGAATGAAATTTGACACAGGTCACTTAATTGGCCTAAGGACGATCTCTATTGAAATTGGGAAAAATCGGTTCAGATTTAGATATAGGTCCCATATATATTTTCGTCCGATTTAAGGTAAATGGTGTACCAAAGTCCCTATATATCTTTGGATTTGCACGAAATTTGGTACAGCGTAATGAATTAGGTCTAGAATGATGTGTGTTAAGTTTCATGAAAATCGGTTAAGATTTAGATATAGCTCCCAAATATATCTTCGTCCGATTTAAGGTAAATGGTGTACCAAAGTTCCTATATATCTTTCGATTTGGATGAAATTGTGCACAGGTCACTTAATTGGCCTAAGGACCAACTCTATTGAAATTGGGAAAAATCGGTTCAGATTTAGATATAGCTCCCAAATATATCTTCGTCCGATTTAAGGTAAATGGTGTACCAAAGTCCCTATCTATCTTTCGATTTGCATAAAAATTGGCATAGCGATATGAATTAGGTCTAGAATGATGTGTGTTAAGTTTCTTGAAAATCGGTTCAGTTTTAGATATAGATCCCATATATAGGTTCGTCCGATTTGATGTAAATGGTGCACCAAAGTCCCTATATATCTTTCGATTTGCACGAAATTTTGCATAACGTACTGAATTGAGCCTAGAGTGATGTCTGCCAAGTTTCGTGAAAATCGGTCCAGATTTAGATATAGATCCCATATATAGTTTCGTTCGATTTCATGTAAATGGTGCACCAAAGTCCTTATATATCCTTCGATTTGCACGAAATTTGGCATAACGTACAGAATTGAGCCTAGAGTGATGTCTGCCAATTTTCGAGAAAATCGGTCCAGACTTAGATATGGCTCCCCTATATAGTTTCGTCCGATTTCATGTAAATGGTGCTCCAAAGTCCCTATATATCTTTCGATTACCACCAGATTTGTCGTAACGTACATCAAATTTTGCACAACGTACAAAATTGAGCATAGAATTGTTGCGTTTTCTAGAAGTACAGGCATAGTCCAATGGATGACCTATTTATATTTGTTTGAAGTCGATTTACATACTTTTGTACCATTGTAACAAACGAATGATATGTTTATGGATAGATCTAGGTAGATTCACATTTAACAAACGAATGGCATGTTTATGGATTGATCTAAGTCGGTTCACATCCAATTTCATGTTAATGGCGCTTCTGTTAGGATGCATTCGTTTAATATACCCATAGTGGTGAAGGGTATCATATAGTCGGCCCCGTCCGACTTTACTACTTTCCTTACTGGTTTTTTATTGAAGAACCACCTCATGTTATAGAGTACCCAAAGGTATGTTCGGCCAATCTTAACGCATTTTTTACTTGTTTACGATTCTATTCAGATTTTCAATTACGAAACGCCTAAAAGTGCGCTACATTTCAAGAATATTAAATAGAAAGTAATTTACAAAAGTGAATAATAATAATTATGATCTGGAAACTTATATCATAAAGTATATCTATAACTGAATATCGCAACAATTATGATCCTCATAAAATGATAAATCGATTAAGACTCGACCAAAAAAGGTGGCTACTTGCTACCGAAATTACGCCGAAAAGAATTAGTTTTAATGGAAACTTTGACACGATTATGTGGTGGAAAAATTACTATCTGCATCTGGCACTTTTAGTTATAGGTGCAACCCTTGGGGAATCCTATGAACTCTATAAAGAGTAAGTTCATCAAAAAGAATAGTAAATAAATAAACAAATAAATAACAAACAAAACTCCTCTTTGTAGTTATAAAATTTACAATGTTTATGCCGAAAATGAAAATCAATTGCACAACCTTTACAAACTGAGTAAGGCGAATAGAAAATATGATTTCCTCAATCTAGCACGACGTCCTGAGGATATTACGAAAATTCTAATACCACCCCAATTAAATGACATGTTGAAAATGGCCTTGGAAGGATTGCAGTTAAATTTCACATTGGCTCATGATGATGTTTCCCAGCTGATACTGAAAGAGCGCCAGGAACATTTACGTAACACCCCTCCCGAATATCCTTTAAAAGTATTCGAACGTTATTATCGCCACGATGAAATCAATACCCATATGGAAGTATTAGCCCAACTATATCCCTCTCGTGTGTATGTGAAAACCTTTGGCTGGTCCTACGAAAGACGTCCGCTGAAAGTGATTACCATTACCAATGGCGATAAACGCAACGATAAGAAGGTGATATTTGTTGATGCCGCCATGCATGCCCGCGAATGGATAACACCCGCCATGGCCTTGCATATTATGAGTGAACTGATAGAGAATTACGAAAATAATAAACATTTACTGGAGGAATACGATTGGGTTATTCTACCCGTTGTCAATGCGGATGGCTATGAGTATACGCACGAAGAGTATCGTTATTGGCGTAAAACTCGAAAACCCAATTATGTGGTGAATGAAGATGGCGAAGAATGCTTTGGCACAGATCCCAATCGTAATTTTGGTCATTATTGGGATTTTGAAGAAGGTGCCTCCTCTGACCCGTGTGATGAACTCTATCGAGGAGAGAAGGCTTTTTCGGAACCCGAAACCCAAGTGGTGCGTGATATAATGCGTACCTATCGTGGACGTTTGATGTGGTATTTGACTCTGCACTCTTATGGTAATTATATTCTATTGCCATGGGGTCACACCAAGTGAGTAAGGGGATTATATTTTTTATTTTCTTTTGATAATGAAATTTTGTTTGCTAGTGAATTACCCGAAAACTTTTACGAAATGATGGATGTTGCAGATGCGGGTGCCATGGCCATTGTCTTGACCACCGGTACCAGTTACACTTATGGTAATACCTATAAAGTTATTTACCCCACATCGGGTGATTCAAGTGATTATGCTCTGGCCGCTATTAATGTCCCAGTCAGTTTGTGTATTGAAATGCCGGCTGGCGGTTTCTCGGGATTTGATCCACCACCAAGACAGATTGAAGGATTTGTAACTGAAACATGGATTGGGGTGCGCGCCATGGCCGAAACTGTGATTGAGAAATATTGAAAGAGTTATTTTTAATACGAAATAAATTTTATATATGTTTTTATTATTATTTTTTTTTTTATAAAAATAAATTATCAAAGAAAAATGCAGTGGTAAGGAATATCAAATTCGGACGGACCTACGAGACCCAGTTCAGTACGCTATTTAAAATTGTGTCTGATTGAAATAAACTTTGGATTTTTATGCAAGTGACTTTGGACAGAATTATGTATTGGCGTTATATTTAAATCTGAAAAATCACGAATACGGTTCGTCCTTGGGCGAACAGAATGAGTAGTGTACAAAAATACATAGACATGCTTAAATCGACTCAAAAGTGATTAAATCTTGTTAGTTGGGGAGGTATGAATATTCCAAAAGGATTGTACCTATAGACTTAATATCTGGATGTGCACATCTGCCAGTCAGACAGACAGATAGAAGGATATATTTATTCCAACTTCAGAGTGTCTGAAATTGCGCTGGTTTAATACACTCGGTGTCTAAACTCGGCATTTTACATGATAGCTACAAACCTTTATATCACGAATCCATCATTGTGTTGAAATAATATTAGAAGTTGCAATATTTAAGACAGTTTATCCCAAAATAAATGTACCACCTCATTTCCGGAATTATGACAGTTATAGCCGCATTTCCATCTGAAGAAGCTATATTTTAGAATTTCAGATTTTTGGAATTTGGATATATAGGTCCATAACCATTCTAAAGGTTTCGATTAAATTCAAGTATTTTGACGGTCGTTGGTGTATTTCTGTTGGTATTCGAAGTTCATGGTGGGCAAAAAAACTTCCTCGAAGAAAATATATATGTAGGTGCATTTTAATATTCTTGGCCTAGTAGACGTTGTTATTTTGAGACAGACATGATAAAGGAGGACATATCTAATTATACCCTACACAACTATGTTGTCAGGGTATTATAGCTTTGTGCAGCCCCAAAAGTTTGTAACGCCGCGAAATATTGGTCCTAGACCCACCCTTAAGTATACCGATCGTCATATCTCGACTAGCTGAGTCGATCTAGACATGTGTGTCCGTCCGTCCATTATAATTTGTAAACACGATGCAGGCCACAGTTATGGACCAATCTTCGCGAAATTTTGCATGTAGAGTGGATTCAGGCCAATGAAGACCCCTATTGCTTTTAGAAAAGATCGGTTAATATTTAGGGGATGAAATGGACCAAAAACTTTATTTTTGTCGGGTTTTCTGGTCGCTCCAGAGGCCGCAATTATGGCCCAAACACCGCGATTTTTTGCATGGAGAAGGGGATCGGGCCAAAGAATAAGCATGTCTGTTTTGATAAAGATCGTTCAATATTTAGCGGTTCAAATGGACCCTGACTTTTGTGTGAAAATTAACAAAATTTGTATTCTATGGCGTATATGTTTGCCCCTGAAGGACCTAGACCCAAAAAATTGATAGTGTGTTCAAGAGGAGTGGTTGACCTTTAAATTTATACCAATTACATGGTCGTATGTACTCAGATGTGGGAGTTACATCTAAATATTTACAGGTGCTTACGTATTCAGACATTATTTAGTAACCCAATACCACACTAGAGGGCGGAAATATAGCGCTGATAGCTTTGAAAATTTCCATGAAATTCCAGTTATGGTCAAGGACAACGCCTATAATTTCCAATGATGATCAGATAATAATTTTGGGATGAAGTGGACTGAAAACTTAACCTTTTGTGTTATTTATTTATTATTATTATTATTTAATTTTTTTAAACTGTTGAATATAAATATATAGTTTATTCTGAGACTTGAAGTGGATTTTGACGTAGAATATTTTATTCTTTCACATTATATACCTAGAATTAAGTTTCATGTTACTTTAATGCACTTTGTCGAAAAAAATACTGGGAAATATCTTTGAAAAAATACAAGAACATTTTGAATTGTTGAATTTGAGACCATCTATAGGCCACAATTGAAAGCCCAACATCATAACATAAGTCACGGTAAAGAGAATCTGGACAAGTACAGCCCTCGTCTACTGAATATTTGTAATATTTGTTGACCTTTAGTCGGGTTTCAAGAGGGTGCAAATAATGCAAAATTAGATTTTCGTGGAAGTTGTGTAGGGTATTATATGGTCGGCCCCGTCCGACTATACTGTTCCGCTCACCTGTTTTCAAATAAATTGTCATTCCAAGTTCTTGGTTGTTAAAAAAAATCTTAAATAAAAATGTTCAATATATATTGACGTTTTGCCATAGAAGGTCTTGGCGAATTTTTATAATTTTAAAGTTTTTAGCCGGATTTTGCAATTGAAAGGTCTGTAAGTGGACATTTTTGGTCTTTGGAGTATGAAACACATATTTTCAGAAAATGTTAAATATGGGCCCATATTTTCATATAACCATGTTCTAATATAAAGGTCCCGGTCCACTTTCGATATGTTGAAGGCCCTAAGCGCACTTGGCAAGTGTTCTCAGAGGTCTTCAGTTTCTTAAGGTATATAGTAGACTTCATAAAGTCCTTTATAGATAGAAAAGATATAAAGCATGTCTTTAAATAGAAGACATTCAAGATCGCTACACAGAACAGAACAAATTCTTGAAGCCTACTATAGGCAGAATAATTTCTAAAGGTTTTCTGTAGACACAAGATCTACTACACTCAGAAGACCTTCTTAGGTAGAATACTTTTAATATCTTCTGGTGATAGGTCTTCTGTCTTCATTAGGTAGATAACCGTTTAAAGGACTTCGAGGTCTGAATGCAAACGAACTTATAAAGACGATTCTTATCCAGAAGACTATGAGGTCTTTTGTAGATAAAAGAACTCTATATACAGAAGATCTTTAAAAAGTCTTCCAATGGTTGTCGATAGATCGAAGACTTTTATATAAAAGAGCTTCTATAGGGTCTTCTACAAAATCTTCTAATGGCTTCTACAGACTCAAAATCTTTTAAAGATTTTATATAGACAAAATAAGTCTTTTATAAGAAGAAGATGTCTTTTGGAAAAGTCTTCTATTAAATGATGTTCTAATGGAATTATATAGACCTTCTAAGTATGACTTCAGAAAATTGTTTTTCGAAATAAGAAACATGAAATATAGCCCTTCTTAATTCCCATTATTCCCCCACACTCCTATATATTCCACTGCCTCGATTTAAATCTGTGACGTTTTTAAATTGCCATAAAATTTCAAATTAATCGATTTCCCAATGGTATATAGCAAATGTGTTCTTCAATGGATTTTTGGACATAATTCATTTTATAAATATTTCAATAAGATTTTCAAATGAAAATTTAAAAAAAAAATCGACTTAAATTATGATTAGATTTGATTATTTTATAAAAAAATCTATATAATTTATGACCCATTAAGAATTAATATACGATTAGATAACTTTGAAATTTGGCAGGCGTTACTTTTTCAGCAGAATATGTAGTGTTGGTGGTTAGGGTGAAGGTGAAGGCAGTTGTAAAGCATTGTCCGTTAGAAACGGACCACTGGAGATGTTGCGATCTACGTTATTGGTTGTGGCCCTAGGAGCCATTGTGGCTCTTAGCAGTGCAAGCGGAATTGCTTATGATGGGTAAGTTTTGCTGATGTTTTAACTATGAGGTATATAAGGAATCAAATGCTAACAATTTTAAATTTCAGTTACAAAATCTTCGAAGTTGTTCCCCAAACCCAAGAACAACTGGACTTCTTGTTTGACATCTCGAAATATGAAGAGTTCTATGATTTCCTGGCTCTGAAGAAAATTCCCAATCATGTAGCCCGTGTTATGGTCAACCCCAATGAAGAGGAGAATTTCCTGACATCTTTGGACTCGCTGAATTTATCATACCGCGTGCTCAATGAAAACGTGGGCAAGACCATTGAGCGTGAATTCCAATTGAGCAAACTAAAGCGCAATTTGGCTCCATTCAGTGGCAAGGGCCGCTTGAGCACCGAACGTTATTATTCTCATGCTGAAATCAATGCCTATATTGAGGATTTGGCCGAACGTTATCCTGAACGTGTTGTTGTACAACAAGTTGGAAAATCCTATGAGGGACGTGACATGAAAACCATAACCATTACCAATGGTGATGGCCGTAAAATGAAGAATGTCATCTTCATGGATGGCGGTTTCCACGCCCGTGAATGGATTTCACCAGCCGCCGTTCTCTATGTCATCGAACAATTGGTTGAAAATTTCGAAGAGAATGCTGAACTACTTGCCGATTATGATTGGGTTATTTTGCCCATGGTCAATCCAGATGGTTATGAGCATACCCAGACGGGAACATTGGCACGTATGTGGCGTAAGACCCGTCAACCCTATACATTTGCGGGTAAAACTTGTTATGGTGCTGATCCAAATCGTAACTTTGGTTTCCATTGGAATGAAGAGGGTGCATCGAATAATCCCTGTGTTGATACCTATGCTGGACCTAAAGCTTTCTCGGAGAATGAAACTATTATTGTGCGTGATTTAATGCATTCGTTGAGGGGACGTGGTGTCATGTATTTGACCATTCACTCATATGGCAATTATTTGCTGTATCCTTGGGGATGGACTTCGTAAGTTCCGCTTAACGATTTGTGTAATTTAGTACTAATTTCATTTTTTTCTTATTAAAGTGATTTACCCGACACCTGGCCCGATTTGGATGAAGTGGCTCGTGCTGGTGGTGATGCCATCTACGAGGCTACCGGTACTGTTTATAGTGTTGGTTCTGCCACCAATGTTTTGTATATTGCCGCTGGTGCTAGTGATGATTATGCTTTCTATGCTGGTTTCCCCATTTCCATTACCATGGAATTACCAGGAGGTGGTCTTACCGGTTTCGATCCTCCAGCCTCGAAAATTGATCCATATGTCAAGGAGACTTGGATTGGTATTCGTGCCATGGCTAAAAAAGTTGTTGAGAAATATCCCACCGAAAGGCCTGATTTTTTGTAAATTAATTAACAGTTATGGTTAATTGTTTTCTTTTTAATTAAAATTTACAAAAATCAAAATCTGTTTCTTTTAATTAAAAAGGTGTGAATGGTTAATGTGTTGATGATTTAACAGATAATTGAATGATTGATTTTGCAGAAGGAGACATTGACTGATAAACGAATTGGTCTGATCAGATTTTCGTATGGTTTATTGGATTGTTATTGGTGGTTGAACTGCAGTGATGGAATAATTTGTGTATGACAAGGGATAGTAATGAAAATGTGAATATTTTTAATTATGCCACTCCTAGGTTTCTTTGTTTTCCAAATGTGGTATATCGGTCTACGTTTCTGTACAACTCTAATATAACGGTAACCTCCAATATTCGGTATTTTGAGGCTTGTGGCCGTATTTTCCAACCCAAAAGGCTGTAATTTGGCATTTCGGGGTTTTGGAGGCTGGCATACATCTGTGCAGAAAATGAAGTCCATGCATTGACATTGCCCGCATACTGTAGGTATGTTGAAGATTATAGCAGTCTAGGTTCTTTGTAAAGAATATACGTTTTCCCGGAAAATGTTCAATGTTTTTAAATACATACAGAGGTCCCGCTTGCTAATTAAAATTTCCCAGTGTAATATTCCGACCTTAGTGGTATTTAATTATCTAAGAGTATATAAAAACGTACTAGCACACAATTTACCATGTGACGCAACAGTTTCTTTTTGACAACCTTCGAGCGACAGACATCAATGTTGGAACACTTACCTGTGATCTTCATACCAAAAAATGGATGCGAGCCTTAAATTTCAAAATTTTCTGCAAATAAGTTTCTTACACACGAAGAAACCGGAATTCCAAATTTCAGTTAAGGGAACCCCCCATTCTCGATTTAAAATTTTCAAGATTTTCAATGGGCTGGTAAATCAATACCAATGCTTGTTATGGTTTGTAACTTTGCATATACATATATATTTATACCCTACACAACTATGTTGTCAGGGTATTATAGTTTTTTGCAGCGCCCCAAGAGTTTCTAACGCCGCGAAATATTGGTCCCAGACCCACCTTTAAGTATACTGATCGTCATATCCCGACCCCGAATCGATCTAGACATGTGTGTCCGTCCGTCCTTCTGTCCATTATAATTTGTAAACACGATGCAGGCCCCAGTTATGGACCAATCTTCACGAAATTTTGCATGTAGGATGTGTTCTGTCCAATGAAGACTCCTATTGTTTTTTGAATAGATCGGTTAATATTTAGGGGATGAGATGGACCAAACACTTTATTTTTGCCTAAACTTCGCGAGAAGGGGATCGGACCAAAGGATAAGCATGCCTGTTTTGATAAAGATCGGCCAATATTTAGCGGGTCAAATGGACCCATACTTTTGTGTGAAAAATGACAAAATTTGTATTCTTTGACATATATATTTACCCTTGAAGGACAAAGACCCTCTTGATAGTATATCCAAGAGGAGTTGTTGGCCTTTAAATTGATACCAATTATATTGTTGTATGTACTCGGATGTGGGAGTTACACTTAAATATTTACAGCTGCTTACGTATTTAAATATTATTTAATAAACCATTTCCACACTAGAGGGCGGTAATGGTTTATCCTTGAGGATCCAGGTATGGTCAAGGACAATGCCTATAATTTTCGGTGATGATCAGATTAAAATTTAGGAATGAAGTGGACCGAAAACTAAATTGTTTGTGTTTTTTCGAGTCAATTTATAGGCCACAAGCCGAACATCACAACACAACCCACGGTGAAGGGATCTGGAAAAGTAATTAGAAGGGCTGTACTGAATATTGGGATATTCGGAAAATATGTCAATGTAAGGAAGATGTGCTGTTGATCTCTGATCGGTCAAGAGGGTGCAAATATCACGAAATATTGACCAGGCTCGAAATAAACATACGCAAAAGTTAGAGTTCCGTGGTAGTTGTGTAGGGTATCATATGGTCGGCCCCGTCCGACTATACTGCTCCGCTCACTGGTTTTGTTATTGTTTTGTTGTTTTTTTGAGATTAAAGAAAACTCCTTATTTTTGGTAATGGCATGATAACTCCTCACTGGAGCATCGTAATCCGAAAATTCCAACGGTTATAGAATGAGCACATGTCTGGCTCTCGCATCAACTAGGATTATTGGCTTCGCTCAAAAGTTAACAAAATGGCGTACGTTTGAAAAATGTTTTTTGGAAACTCGCCTATTTTTGACCACAAACCAAAGAGCTATACATTCACAGAGAAACGTCCCAAATAAGGAGATTGCAATATTGGGATCTCCTTACAATTATGCACATAGAATTTCACTCTGATTATGGGTCATATTACAAAAACAAAACATAGTATTTCCGATATCACCTATAATACAGTTGAACTTCACTATAACGAATCTTCAAATAAAGAACAAGTGGGAATAATAAAGAACAAGTTATCATTGGTGACTATGAGTCGACTGGACTCAGGTAAACATTTAAATAAATTTTAATCGTCCAAATCGAATTGACAACAAACGACCAAAAAGGTATGATATTAAAATATTTAAATTTGACATGAACCTATTTTCATAAATTTATGTCAGGAGATGATCTTTTACACTCCCAGAAATCGGAATGGTGAACAGACACTGAGATCAAAACGTTGCACTATATTGAAATTTTTTCCTCCAAAGAGTCTTGTGTAACCAGTAAAGTCAAATTGACCAATATAGCCACCTATTTGGCAAAATGCAATAGTACCATTGAAATACATATAATGGGTAATATTATATGTATTTTACAGCACCAACTATCCTAAATGTATTCGCAACTTATGATAACAACCCTAAATTTTTGACATTTTTATCAAATTTTTCGTCATTCTGGTTGTCATTCAATCGAGGCTAAACTGTACAGTAGAATAGAATGCCGGACGGTAAACAATAAAATTGAAGTGCAATCGCACTAAAATTAATCTCTGAATCTCTTGCCGATATATGGGACAGATTATTAGACGGCATACGTCTCGACAAACTTTCCACACATAGTGAGGAGAATTGTATAAACACACACAAACCACACCTCTCCAAGGAGATCATAAATTTTGATCTCAAATCGGTAGTGTAAAATCCAACCAGACTACGGTCAAATAATAATCTTTAGTTTTGTACATTGATAAATATATTTATAGTTCAACGTCAATGGTATACAATTTTCTACAATAGGTTGGGGTGAAATACTTTTTTTAGTATTTTTTTATTTGAAATTGCCCATTCTAACATTGTACCGGACATGCGATCATTATCAGCTAATAATTATTTCGAATTGGGTTTCCTTCAATTGTATTGATTAGCAATTATTTATCATTGCTGGCGATAAGATTATGATAAACGTGTTTGTGTGTGTTCGACATTCATTGCTATGAAATTAAGAAATCTTTACAACGCTTCAACAATATTTGACAGTTGATTTTTGACAGTGTTTGGGGAAAGAAGGAAGAATATAATGTCTGCCACTCGAGTAGCAGCAGGAGTAGCGACAGCTATTATTTGTTTAATTGTAATAACTGCAGAGGCGACTAATTACGATGGGTAAGATTGATCGACAGTGATTGTTGGTGTTGATGTGTAAAGTGTTTTTTTTTTTTTTTTTTGGACGAAAAAGGATACACAATCGTATGAAAACAAACGGATCCGATAGAAAATATTTCATTAAATGATATTTGAGATGACCATATTGGATTTTATATTATAGTCCTCTACATTGGATTCTACGAATAGAAGAACTTTTGATGTATTCGAGGCTTAAAAAGTCTGGGTACGGTATATATAATAGGTTTTCGGAACAACTCTCTCCTTTAAAATAATCATCAGGTTATATTTCCTTTATAGAACGTCTTCAGAGAACGATGAGTTTTCCATATTCTGGAGGTAATTCTACAAATTTTGTTTGTTTGAAGTAGTTTTCTGACTGAATGGGTTCTTCCGAACCTTTTTCGGTAAAGTTCCGACAAAGGCTTTTCTCCAGAAGAACTCTTGCATTCTAATCATAGACGATTTCCAAGACTTCCTTTATCTATTAAATAGATGGACCAGATAATCTCCATGGATTTTCCAACATAAACTAATTCAATCCGATGTCCTCTGGTATTTTCCTATAGAAAAAAATTCCCAGTTTGCTGTGTTTTTTTAAACAAATCAGGCCTGATGTCCACAGAGTTTTCTTCTATAGAAAAAAATTGAACCTCATGAGGTGGTAGAATTTTTTTCCTACAGCAAAAAATAAAATAAATAAATAAAAAATGGACTTGATGTCCCACAAGGTTCTATATATTTTGTTCCTAAAGAAATTTGTTTCTAAACTGAAATTAATCGAACCCCATTAGGTGCTGGGAATTCTAAAGAAAAATGATTGGAAATAATGTCCTCAACATTTTTCGGATTTAAAAACAAAACGGACCTGTGGTTCAGTTATTATTTTTTCGACATAAAAATGGACCTGAGATCCTGTGAGGGCTTCCAATATGGATATTGTTCTATATAGAAGGTTCCTGAGAATTTAATTATCTATAAAATTCGGTTTACAGCTGCTATGAACAGATTCATAAAAAAATCGGATCTTTAAACAAATTTCTATAGATAAGAATCAGTCCGGAGGGTTTGCAAATCGTTTCCAATAGAAATAACCATTACGAGTGTCTGTAATTTTATTCGCTAGAAAAAATCGAACCTGATTGTTTAAAAATCGGTCCTGAAGTCACCAATTTGTTTTTGTGTGCAGAATAATATCGACAATTTTTTGTGTCTATAAAAATATCTACCCTAAACGACTTGTAGTTTTTGTTATAAAAAGCTTGATCCTTTTCAAAAATATCAGCACTTCGGAAATACAAAAATTGAATTGGTGTCTTGATAACCGTGCACTTTTACAAGACGCCAATGGTTGTTCTCAAAACTGATTTTTTTTAGAAACACAATCTCTCACACCCATACATAAAGTTCCCTATCAGACATTTAATTCCGATGATCATAAATATTTTCATAGCATTTTAGATAGTAGATCATAAACCAATTGTTTTACTGGTCAATTTAATTGACGTTTATTTCTGTATTCTTACTAATTTGTTTATGTGTGTGTGTGCTTTAAACAGTTACAAACTATATCGGCTATCCGCACCATGGACAAAACAACAACGTGATATGTTCGTACAAATGACCTTGAACGAAGACGCCTACGAATTTGTCCATCCCAATAAGTACATTGTAAATCCAGACTACTTGGAGGAGTTCAAAACAACTTTACAACAAAACGGTATTACCTTCGAACTGCAAGATGAAGATGTCGGAGCGACGGTGCGTAAAAATTTCGAACAAAATCGTGCTATGCAAAAGTTGTTCCCCTACAAGGGCCAGGGTCGTTTGGGTACCAATCAATACTACAGTCACGCTGTCATCAATGCATATTTGGAATCATTGGCCAGAACTTATCCCCAGCGCGTATTTTTACGTAAAGTCGGCTTATCCTTTGAGGAACGTGATTTGAAAGCTTTGATTATTACCAACGGTGATGGTCGCAACGATAAGAATGTCATCTTGGTCGATGGTGGTTTCCATGCCCGTGAATGGATTTCGCCAGCAGCTGCAATTTATGCCATCGAACAATTGGTAGAGAATTTCGAAGAAAATCGCGATCTGCTGGAGGATTATGATTGGGTTATATTGCCTGTAGTTAATGCTGATGGTTATGAATATTCTCAGCAGTCGGCCGAAACAAGAATGTGGCGTAAAACACGTAAACCATTGTTCCATCAAGGTGGCATTTGTTACGGTACCGATCCAAACAGAAATTTTGATTTCAAGTGGATGGCTGGCGGTGCCTCTTCAGATCCCTGTTCGAATACCTTTGCTGGACCCAACCCATTTTCAGAACCCGAAGCAAGAGTTGTAAGGGATTTGATTCAAACATATAAGAAAAAGGGACAAATGTATTTGACGTTACATTCAAGTGGCAGTTTGTTACTTTATCCATGGGGTTGGACTTCGTAAGTTTAAAAAGATATAACTATATAATAATGATATAGATCTAAGCTAGATTTGTTTTGTAATATTTGTAGTGATCTTCCCGAAACATGGCCAGATTTACACGAAGTTGCCACAGCCGGTGCTGATGCCATTAAAAATGCCACTGGTCGTGAATACACCGTGGGCTCATCGACAAATGTTTTGTATATAGCTGCTGGTGCCAGTGATGATTATGCCTTCAATGCCGGCTTCCCCATTTCCTTCACAATGGAATTACCAACAGCTGGTTCAACGGGTTTTGATCCACCAGTTGAGATGATCGACAGTTTGGTCAAGGAGACCTGGGTGGGTATTCGTGCCATGGGCTTGAAAGTTATCGAGAAATATCCTTTGGTTTAAATAAAAGTATTAATAAGATATTGTAATAAAAAATTGGAAATTTTGTTATGTTTTTAAATAATATTCAAATTGTACGTAAAATTTAATTAAATTATATTATACATTACAGTTCAATTAGTATACTGTTGCACATTTTCGAAAACTAGCAGAAGTTGTAGCCAAATATAGGAGAATGAAAACAAAAATGGCGAGGTTCTGAAAAACCGAAATAGGGCGGTACCTTTGTATGGGACTAATTCAAAATATATACTAAAAAATCGTTCAAAAATAACGAAAATGCGGTGAATGAATTTGGAATGACAAATTGTTATATTTTAAATTCTAATCGGTTCGAAATGTAAACACCGACTCCTCCCGGTTGGAAATAAACATAAACCCATCAAAATATCGATCCATTGTATGGTATAGAGAATAACGCGTTTAAATTTGAAATTTGCCAAATCTTATCCGAACATGAACCTATGTGGAACAATTCGTGCTAGGAAGCAAAGAAATCAAAATACAAAATTACAGATCCCAACAGATGCTATCTTTGTGATGAGTTTAACATGGTTATATCGATAAAATGTTATATTTCGAGCCTGGGTAGTATTTCGTGATATTCGCACTCTCTTGACCGATTAGATATCAACAGATATATTACGAAACTTGGCACACAAACTTCTGGACTAAATTCAGTACGTTATGCAACATAAGAACTTTGGCACATTATTTAAATTAAATCGGACGAAAAAATATATATCGGACGAAAAAATATATATCTGAACCGATTTTCACGAAACTTGGCAGACATCGCTCTAGGCTCAATTCAATACGTCATGCCAAATTTCGTGCAAATGGGAAGATATATAGGGACTTTGGTGCACCATTTGCATGAAATCGGACGAAACTCTATATGGAAGCTATATCGAAATTTGGGCCGATTTTCATGAAACTAAACAGACATCATTCTAGGCTCAATTCAGTACGTTATGTCAAATTTCGTACAAATAGAAAGATATAGAGGGACTTTGGTGCCCCATTTACCTTAAATCGGACGAAACTATATATGGGAGCTATATCTAAATCTGAACCGATTTTCATGAAACTTGGCACACATCATTCTGGACATAATGCAGTACGCTATGACAAAATTCGGGCAAATCGAAAGATTTTCAGGGTCTTTGGTGCACCATTTACCAAAAATCGAACAAAAATATATATGGGAGCTATATCTAAATCTGAACCGATTTTTCCCAATTTCAATAGGGTTTCAGCCAAATCGGATTAAAAGTGCGACCTGTACTTTGTTTACAATTTAACATCAACAGACAGGCAGACGGACGGGCATGCATAAATCGACTTAGAAAGTGATTCTATGCATATTCTCAAAAGGAACCATGTGTCTATCTCGTTTATTTTTGCCTGTTACAAACATATGCAGATCACACTGTACCACAGTGTGGTGAAGGGTTTAATGATAATCGCTTGGTGCCAAGTCCGGATTGTATGGCGGATGCATTAAAATTTCCCAACCAAATCTCTGGTGAGTCACTGTATATGTGTCTGATCTCTACTGTTGACAGTAGAGATCAGAATTTAGCGTTCGGCGATATGGAAGCAACTCATAATAAATAATGTCATTCCAATCCCACCAAATGCAAAGCAGAATCTTCCTTGTCGTTAGTCCTGGTTCGGCCACCGTTTAATGTGATTCACCTGCTGTTAATTTGCGTGGAACCCTTACACCGAGCAGCTTTGTGTAAATGGTTCAAAAAAGTTTTATGGTCGGTTTTTAGCTCCAGGCCGATGTCACGACTGCTAAAATGCCGGTCAACTTCGATCATTTCTCCGATTTGATATTGAAAAGTCGACTTTTGCGCTCGACTACGTATCCCTAGAATACACCTTCTGTCATATTTCACGATTTTTTTCCGTGACCATAGAACGATCTTCTGCGCACAGATTTAATGCAACTATCCTAAAATGTGGATAGGAATAATAGTCCGATATCAAATAAAGTAAATGCAATTTTAACGAAATAATCATTTTAAATTATGCTCAAGGTTAAATTATTCTCTGAGGGCTCAATTCGAACAATAATAATTTGGACTGTATACAAAAATTTTTACTGTACACGTTTTGCCCTTATATCAAGAAACGCATAAATTGCCAAAAATTTGATTTTTTATACGCATCGTCTTATATCAGGTCTTTTCTTTTTCGACAAACCAGGCATATAATGTCGCTATAACCGCCAGTCAATAATTGGGTACTGTTCAACCAATAAGGGATGGCATACATAGCAGCAGCTGGAGGGAAAATCTTTTTGTTGGCCTTGCTGTTCCCGTTGTTGACGGTAATGACCTGTCACGGTTTTCATAGGATTTTATAAAAGTTTTGACAATAACACTGTTGGTCTAGACCTTGGCCAATTCATTGAGGTTAGCATACATGGCATCGAAACGTTGGAAGCTGGCGAAACCAATGCGGCCGGTGGTGTCAGCAGCAGAACGGACGTAGTTCACTTGTACTGACTCTTCGGCAGTGATTTGTACCACATTTGGTAAGGGTATGGGTGAGACCTAATTTGGTTATAGGGATGTGGAAATCGAATAGATCTTCAGGTTGAATCTGAAGGTCAATTGGTGAGTATATTATATATTATTTATATAGCAATATTCTTGTAAGTATATGGTGCAGTTAGGTCAATATTAAGAATTTTTGGACGATCTTATCACTATAACTAAATTATTGCAGTATACTCTGCACGCAATATACACTGTCAATATTTTTTGTGGCAAACCTCGCATATAAGTTCGGTATAACCTTCAGATTACATACATATTTTTGTAAACATTGTTGGTTTTGCAATAAATACCACAACGTGTTACCCTTATCAATTTCAAATTAACTTCGCAAGCATGCGTTTTCCTTGGCAATGACCCTGATTTTCTAGTATTGAATATTTGTTATCTATAAAATGAAATTGCTATAACCTCAAGACTAAAATTACAACAAAATACATGCGGGTGCGATAAATTATGATATTCATAGGCATTACACCCAAACATATTGACTACCAACAACTTCCCTACCACTCTGCTGGAAAATAAATACCCTATGACCTGGTTGTCATTACAAATTCCGTTGACTTTATTTTGTTGCTATTTCCTGCAATTTAATCGCATAATACCTGGTAGCGTTAATCTAATTAAAAGTTAACAACAATTGACACACTTTTTCAGTTGGAACACAATTGAAATACAATAGGCGAATGTTTATCTTAGGCGGTGGCACAGTTGGACTTAAAAACATACTTCGAAGTAATACAAAATGTAAACATGAATGAATGAGACATAAAAAACCCAACAACAATTGAAGTGTTCAACACTTCACTTGAAGGTATTCTCAATTAATTGAAAGCAAAAGTTAGGTAAACAAAAATTAAAACAATTCGTAATGAAATAATTAGAAAATTAATATACTTGAATGAGGGGTTGGAGTGGAATTTGAGTTTTTGTTTAATGACGTTTTAAAATGTACATGTTTATTAATTCAATATTCTACCCTCAATCATAGGTTGGAATGTCTATTAGTCGGAGATTCTCTGATGACACCATATAACAGTACCGAAAAATTAAAAATATTGGTCTAGATTTCGACATACACCACATATGAAGGTCTCGCCCCCTTATAGTTCTTTGGACTTTATATCACCATTTTTCCATTTTCTTGGCGAAAAAATCTTGTAGATAATTTTGCATTCATGTTTTAATATCCTCCAATCGAAGGTGCTGTTTTGAGTATTTCGGGCATTTATAGAATGTGAAAAACATATTTGCAGAAATTGTTGAATTGAAAGTGTTGTCATAGCTCCGAAATTAATGTTCCACCCTATGTTAAGTATGTTAAAGGTCATAGCCGAGGATCTAATTTGGTATTTCTGGTGCTTGTAAGGTGTAAAACGTCTTTGAGAAAATTGGTCAATGTTTTGAAATAGCATCAGGTGAATGCCCCGCCTTATTATACCCTTCACCACACTGGTACAGGGTATTATGTCTTTGTGCATATGTTTGTAACAGGCAAAAGGAAACGAGATAGACCCATAGTTCCTTTTGAGAATATTCATAGAATCACTATCTAAGTCGATTTATGCATGTCCGTCCGTCTGTCCGTCTGTTGGTGTTAAATTGTAAACAAAGTACAGGTCGCATTTATAATCCGATTCGAATGGAATTTGGCACAGATCATTTGTTTGGCCCAAGGACGAACCCTATTGAAATTGGGAAAAATCTGTTAAGATTTAGATATAACTCCCATATATATTTTCGTCCGATTTAAGGTAAATGGTGCACCAAAGACCCTATATATCTGTCGATTTGTACGAAATTTGGTATAACGTACTGAATTTAGGCTAGAGTGATGTCTGCCAAGTTTCGTGTAAATCGGTCCAGATTTAGATATAGCTCCCATATATAGTTTCGTCCGATTTCAGGTAAATGGTGCACGAAAGTCCCTATATAATTTTCGATTTGCACCAAATTTGGCACAACGTACTGAATTGAGTCTAGAGTAATGTCTGCCAAGTTCCGAGAAAATCGGTCCTGATTTAGATATAGCTCCCTTATATAGTTTCGTCCGATTTCATGTAAGTGGTGCACCAAAGTCCCTATATATCTTTCGATTTGCACCAAATTTGGCATAACGTACTGAATTGAGCCTAGATTGATGTCTGTCAAGTTTCGAGAAAATTTCGTCCGATTTCATGTAAGTGGTGCACCAAAGTCCCTATATATCTTTTGATTTGCACCAAATGTGGCATAACGTACTGACTTGAGCCTATAGTGATGTCTGCCAAGTTTTAGATAGAGCTCCAGATTTAAATATAGCTTCCACATATAGTTTCGTCCGATTTACAGTAAATGGTGCACCAAAGACCCTATATATCCCTCGATTTGCACGAAATTTGACATAACATTCTAAATTGGGCGTAGAATAATGTCTGTCATGTTTCGTTGCGTTTTATAGCTCCAATATATAGTATCCCAACGGATGACCTATTGATATTTTTTGAAGTCGAATGACATATTTTATTTCATCCAATTTCATGTTAATAGTCCTGTTTAATATACTCATAGTGATTTTACTACTTTCCTTACTGGTTTTAGGTATGTTAAAGGTTCCACATAAATTATCCAATCGAAGTGGCAGTTATGTATAATTTCGGGATTTTTTGAGGGCAAAAAACTTCTTGGCAGAAACATTTTAAAATATGACAAAATTTTGACCTAACCTGCATGTAATTGTCGCATCTCAGGATTTGCATAATTTTGCAACCAATGCAGATGTAACGTGAAAATCGATCGATCCAATTTAAAATCTCAAAGCATATCCCTTAATTTCTCCCATTACAAAATTTCACTCAAATTACTATTTCTATAATCTCATTCAATTTATTCGTTTCATTACGTTACAATTTAATATTTTTCAATAACCTTCTCAGCCATAGCCTTAATACCCAACCAGGTTTCGCTGACAAAAGGTTCGATTTGGGCGGGTTTGGGATCGAAACCGGTACCTCCAGCTGGCAATTCCATGCAAATGGCAATTGGGATCTTGGCCTTGGCCAAAGCATAATCATCACTACCACCAGCAGCGGCATACAAGACATTGGTGGAAGAGCCCACGGTGTAACGGGTTCCGGTGGCAGATTTGATAGCTGTAGCAGCAGCTTGAGCAACTTCATCCAAGTCCTTGACGTTTTCGGGATATTCACTAGACAAAGACAAATTTGGAATTTAACATTTCTTTCCAGGAGGAAAAGAACGTAAATATAAATGTTCCACTTACGAAGTATAACCCCAAGGATACAACAAATAGTTGCCATAAGAGTGCAGAGTCAAATAGAATTTTGCGCGGCCAGTCAAGGAGAGCATCAAATCGCGGAGAAGACGAGTTTCGGGTTCAGAGAAAGCAGTCTTACCCTTGAAGGTATCGGAGCAAGCCAAGCTGGAGGCGCCAACCTCTCCCCAGTGGAAATCGAAATTGCGGTTAGCATCGGTACCAACGCAGGATGAGGAGACAGGTTGACGGGTCTTACGCCACATACGGGAATTGGTGTGGGTATATTCATAACCATCGGGATTGACAACGGGCAAGATAACCCAATCGTAGTCCTTCAACAAGTGAGCGTTTTCAGAGTACTTCTCAACCAATTGATGGATGACATACAAAGCACCAGCAGGAGCAATCCATTCACGGGCATGAATACCAGCATCCATGAGGATGACCTTCTTGTTGGCTCTGCCGTCACCATTGGTGATGGTAATGGTTTTCATGTCACGATTTTCATAGGATTTGCCCAAAGTTTTGACAATAACGCGCTGGGGATAGGCCTTGGCCAATTCATCGAGGTAAGCATTGATGGCATCGAAACGTTGGAAGCTAGCGAAGCTAATGCGGCCGGTGACGTCAACAGCAGCACGAGCATAGTTCATTTGCTCAGCCTCCTCGGCAATGCTTTGGGCAACATTTTCATTGATGACGGTGTAGGTAAGACCGAATCTGGTCAAAGTGGTTTCGAAATCGACTTGATCTTCTGGTGTGACCATAACACGAGCGGTTTTACCAATCAACTTGGGCATATCGAAGAAATCATATTGTTCACTGGTGTAGAGACGCAACAAGACTTCCTTTTCGAAGGCATTGTTGGCATTGACATCGTAGATTTTGTAGCTGGAAAAAGAGGAGATCAAAAAAAATTAAGAAACTGAAATAATTTATTTTCCAATTCAAACTTACCCCTCATAGCTTTCAGCCGAGGCCAAAGCAATGCTGCAGAACAGCACGCTTAAAACGATTTTTAAGAACATCGTGGTAGTTGGTTGAAATTGAAACCCTCCGAACTGGACTGATACAACAGTCGTATTGTTTTCTATGCCGTTGGATATCAGCTTTTTATAGCACAATGAATTTCCCCCGGACTATTTTCCACCAATGGAGTTTCTTATCAGTTAAATATAATTTTTTTGTATTCGCACGGTAGCAGCCGGGTCACACTTCATGGTATTTTCATATCACAAATCAATTCCCTTCATTTGCTATCGTTTATGGTTGTGAAAAAAATCAAATCGTTTGATTTCTTTTGTTTTTTATCAGCTGACGTGTTCAGGTCCACCCGACACACGTCTTTTCGTTTTAGTTATCTTCTATGTGGAGACATTTAAAATTCCTAGAAATTTATGATCATTTTTGAAGAAATTTCAGATTTTGCAATGAAGCCCAAAAGTCCACAAAAAATTTATGGAGATGACGTTGGTCAGGCTGCCCTTCTTTTTTCAATTAGTTTTGATTCTATTTTATTTGTGCTTTTGTTATTTTTAGAAAGCAAAAAAAAAAAAAAAAATGAATTTAGGTTGAACTCAACTATAAACATAAATAATAAAAACATTTGGACAATTTAACTGACCAGTAGGGTAATTAGATTTATGGTTATTATTCTTCAAAAGTATGACCAATTTGTGTGAGTGGACCCATAATTTTTTTATTCTAGCATCTTCTAAGTTTGAATGTTATATAAGGATGTGCTATATTTGGATCAAATTTGGTAACGTACAAAGGGGTTATAGTGCCCATTAGCAGCTAGACAGACGGACGAAAATTTCTTGATCGATTCCAAATTTTCGGAAACGGAGTGGTTACAATATTTTTATCCCTAACAGAAAACTAAGGAAACTAATAGAGATCAGTGGCGAAAAGTGAAACTATAGTCTTATCAGCCTTAATAGTAGGTGAACAATTGAAAACTTTTACAGGGTATTATGTCTTTGTGCATATGTTTAAAACAACAAAAGGAAACGAGATAGACACATGGTTCCTTTTGAGAATATGCATAGAATCACTTTTTAAGTCCATTTATGCATGTCCGTCCGTCTGTCTGTCCATGTTAAATTGTAAACAAAGTACAGGTCGCATTTATGATCCGAATTGGATAACATTTGGCATAGGTCACTCATTTGGCCCAAGGACGAACCCTATTGAAATTGGGAAAAATCGGTTTAGATTTAGATATCTTTCGATTTGCTCGAAATTTGGCACAGCGTAATGAATTAAGCCTAGAATGACGAGTCTTAAGTTTCGAGAAAATCGGTTCAGATTTAGATATAGCATATATATATTTGTCCGATTTAATGTAAATGGTCCCTATATATCTTTCGATTTGCACGAAATTTGGTACAGCCTAATGATTTCGGTCTAGAATGATGTGTGTTAAGTTTCCTGAAAATCGGTCCAGATTTAGATATAGCTCCCATATATAATTTCGTCCGATTTAATATGAATGGTATACCAAAGTCCCCATATATATTTTGATTTGCACGAAATTTGGCATAGGGTAATGAATTAAGTCACCATACCAAATATGAGGCTATAGGACCCGGACCTATGTCTACAATTATCTACATTTACTTTTTTGTCCACTAAGAACCAGTAATGCAATATTACAGTCAATTTAGTTGGAACATCCGAAAACATATACAAAATATAGCACATATTTAAAAATATAAATAAAAACAACTAGAAACCAGTGAGCGGTGCAGTATAGTTGGACGGGACCGACCATATGATACCCTACGCCACTTCCACGAAAATCTAACTTTGTGTGGTTCTATATTCTGTTCTTGGGCAATACTTGGCGATATTTGCATCCTCTTGACCGACTAGAGGTCAACAAATATAACTAATATTCAGTACAGCTCTTCTAATTACTTGTGCAGATTTTCTTCACAGTGGGTTGTGTTGTAATATTCGGCTTTCAATTGTGGCCTATAGATCGACTCAAAAAAAAAAAAAACAAGTTTTCGGTCCACTTCATCCAAATATTATTATCTGACCATCACCGAAAATTATAAGCGTTGTCCTTGACATTAACTGAAACCTAACGGAACATTTTAAAACGATCAGCGCTATATTTCCACCCTCTAATGTGGTAACGGGTTACTAAATAATATCTGAACATGTAAACACCTCTAATTACGAACAATATAATTGGTGTCCATTGAAAAGTCAGCCACTCCTCTTGGATATACTATCAACTTCTCAGGTCTAGGTCCTTCAGGGGTAAATATATACGCTATAGAATACAAATTTTGTATTTTTTCCCACAAAAGTCTGGGTCCATTTACCCGCTTAATATTGACCGATCTTTATCAAGACAGGCATGCATATTCTTTGGCCCGATCCCCTTCTCCATGTAAAAATTCGTTCGTGCCATAATTGATGCCGCTGGAGCGTCCAAAAAAAAAAAAAAAAAACAGACAAAAAAGTTTTTGGTCCATTTCATCCTCTAAATATTATCCGATCTTTACCAAAAACAATAAGGGTCTTCATTGGCCAGAAATGGCAATACAGGCAAAATTTCGTCAAGATTGGTCCATAACTGTGACCTGTTTCGTGTTTACAAATTATAATGGACATACGGACGGACGGAAGGAATCACATGTCCAGATCGACTCAGCTAGTCGAGATATTACCGGTATACTTAAAGGTAGGTCTAGGACCTATATTTTGCGGTGTTACAAACTCTTGGGGCTGCAAAAAGCTATATTACTCTGACAGCATACCTGTGCGAGGTGCACCTTTAACATCAAAAATTCCTGAACGGAATCTACGAAACCAAAATTGCACATAACTGGCTGTTACAGTATTGGAGCCATGAACCCCATTCACAATTTCAGTCCTTTGGCTTGTATGTTCGCCTTTGTCAAAGAACTTAAATTTTTAACACCCTGTAACTCACATCGAAATGTCACCCTTCCAACCAGTTTGGTCGATACTTTACAGGAAATCTATCGGTACAGCCGAAAAAATAATGGATTTATTTTCACTCAACCTAGAGACGATTCGGTTGATAAATGTGCTCAGAAAACAGACTAACGGTAGGTACATTTATATGGGGTCTACGCTGTATTTTGGACCAACATTGATTTGGTGTTAATATGCTTACTCAATGTGAATCAAAAATATTAAATATCAACCATACATCCAAACTCCACAAAATGTCGAAATTTGGGTGGTACTTGCATATGTGGTCTCTGCTACAATGACCACCAATATTTATAAATTTTTGTAGGAAGAATTGATTGATTGTTTGATAGACGTTTATAAAATCTTCCAAATATAAAAAAAAATGAAGGTTCCGTTTTATGGGGACTGTATAGAAAATAGGACCGATATTGATAATTTTTTGATGGGGAGATTTGATATCAATATTGGATTCCCAAGAATAGTATAAGGCCTTCCTAACCACAACATCCCCGGTAGTTTAGGTTTTAATACCATCAAATTTTCAAATCTGAAAGACAGTAATGGGAACATGTCACAGACTAGTTTGAATGTTATCACTATCATAAATCGATCGACTTAATCGTTTTGTCTGTAAGTTGGCCGATAATATGATAACGATAACTGACAACTTATAATTGGTAATATTTTTTCACAGTGGTCGGTACTTACCTACTTTAATTTGGCATTATAGTTATGTTTTCTTGGGGTGCGAAACATCTATGCAAAAAATGTCCTTGCTTTAAAAAAACTCCAAATTAAGAATTTCCAATTTTGTAATTTTCAAAATATAATGTTTTCATTCCCGTCCAGTTTACTTGTTTTAATTTTAATTTTATTAAATTAAAATTTTTTATTGTTCTTGTCCACTTAATTGAAAATAAAATAAAAACATAAAAAATGTATATTGACCATAATTACAAGTTAATTACTTTATTTGTGAACAATTAAAAACACCACCAGACTTGGCTGCCTCCTTTTGCAACGCCTTCAACATTTCAAATTAATTCATAATTCATGCCACAAAAACTGCCAAAGCTTACATCTGGATTATATCTTTAAAATAAGCCATTGCCAGAGAGGAGATCTTTAATTTCCCTTACAACATCCCTTTTCAATTTGATTATTAATCATACCGATGAACATCATTAGGCGGAGGGCTGGGAAGAGCGGTGGAGGCAGCCAGCCAGCCATCAACATCACACAAAAGTATTACAATAGTCCTTTGGCTTTGGGCGACTCGTTTACAAAAGTGTATTAAACTAAGCTATGCTGACATTCGAACACAACCAACCAAACGTACACACAATCTAACAATCTAAGACTCCCCCTCCGTTGAAACAAATTCTACTTGGCAGTTAATGTAAATTCTGGTGGTGGTGTTGGCGGTGGCCTTATTACCAGCCACATTAACTTCTGCCACAAGAATGGCAGCAATGCCTTTTCACCAAAAAAAGAAAAGACAGCCCGCTACTGAATAGCAACGATGCTGACACCCAATGTGAGAAGAAAATGCGGGAAAAAAGGATTTTAATTAAAATTCATCTTCAATTTTAATCAAATCATTCTTGTCCTTGAGGCTTGTCGGTCGCTATGCCATGTTGCGCCCAGTCATCGTTGAAGGGAGCAAAATATTATCGGAATGAAGGAGTGGTTGGTTGGCTGTTGGCGTTGCAATGGTGATTGGTGGGGAGATTGGTGTTTTATTCATTTCTAATTAAGTGCGAAAAATCGTTAAGTGTAAAATCAAATCGACTCTAAAATGAAATGAAACCACTATCAAAGAACCGCAAATACCAGCAGATGTAATGGGTGGTAAATTGCGGAGTGATGAAATTAAAAAAAAAAAAAAAACAGTGAGCGGAGCAGTATAGTCGAACGGGGCCGACCATACGATACCCTACACAACTACCACGGAAGTCTAACATTCTGCGGATTTTTATTCCGAGCCTAGGCAACATTTCGTGATAGTTGCACCCTCTTGCTCTATTAGAGGAATACAGCACCTCTTCAATTTAAAGGCCAACCACTCCTCTTGGAT